AAATTTTATTATTTTTGTGTGAGTGTACCGTCAAATCAGATCTGACTGGTACAGGAGGAGATTGTCCCTCTTTCCTCGGCAGAGCATCTGGTGGATTCAAACCGTGTGCTTCTGGGATTGTAGTTGCAGCTCCTTGCCACTGGGCCACTAGAGCTCCCCTAATTTCAAATATATGCTTAAATTAACACTTACTCCAAAACTGTCTGAATCCTATCTAAAAACTCTGTCCCTTACAGAAGAAATAATAGTGTATATTTTTCTAAAACATTAATTGTTCTACAGATAGTCTTAAAATCTGTCTTAATGTGGCTGTGAAAAATCAAAAAGCACACTAAAGCAAACGATCTGGATTTTATGTTCATATTTTGACATAAACTGGAATAGCGGAGATTTTGTAGCTTTTTTAGTTAGGCCTTAGTTGTTACCCAAAACATGTCATTTACTAGAGCTACATGATCATGTATGAATATGAGTTGCTTAGAAAGAATTCTTTTTAGGTTTTAGTTTCCTTTATTTTAAAAACAAGAATTGTTTCTACTTCTTTTGTGTTGATATAAAAATTACACACAGATACACTTGGCATGTAGTAAGGTCACGTATGATTGACACAGGTTGAGGGTCATGGTCTAGTTGTAAGAAGCTGTACTTCAATCCCAAAGGTACATGGTTCAGGTCCACCAACTGCTCTGTGAGAGAAGGATAGACAGTCTCCTCCTGTGCAGTTAAATTGCCTGTGAAAAACCTTCTGGAGAGTCAGCTACAAGTCAGTTCCTATTCAACAGCACTCAACACAAATGTTACTTAGCTAATAGTGTTTTACCTGCATTACATGAACAACTTGAGGATAGTACTTTCTTCCAAGAGATGTCATTAAGGTACATGATATCTGAAAAGCACTTATGTGGTAATATGTAAATCTAGGTATCCCAACTATTTGATGGTATAAATTGTATGAGCTTTAGATTTATATCTACATTATCTTTATTGTCTTGGCTTGACTGTCTAATCTGGAAATGTAATAATGATAACCATAAAACAGGGTTGTTGTATTGATTAAAGAAATCAACAGTCATCAATATTGATTTAAATATTTCTTAATACTATTTTAATTAATGTTCATAAGAAATTTGCATGCTATGAACTATTATTTTATAGATAGGAGAGCTAAGCCATAATAAAGTTAAAAAGATTCAGCTTAGCTAGAACAGAATTCCCACCTGTCTCTTAGGACTCAGTGCCTATAAACAGTTGAGTCACTGTGGTGGTATGATTTTCACCATGTTTTGTATGGAACAACTCTTGGTACCAGCAGCCAGGAAATTAAAAGACAAATTGCATTGGGAAAGTCTGCTGTTAGAGACCTCTCCAAAGTACTGAAGAGCAACGATGTCAGTCTGGAGACTAAGGTGCGGCCGATATGGGCCATGGTCTTTGCAGTTACTTGCTATGCATCAGAGAGCTGGACAATGACTAGGGAGGATAGAAGGAGAGTTGATGCCTTTGAACTATGGTACTGGAGAAGAGTATTAAATATACCATGGACCGCTGGGAGAACAAACAAGTTTGTCCTGGAGAGGGTGAAGTCAGGCTGCTCCTTGGAGGCAAGGATTCTGAAGCTTCGTCTGAGATACTTTGGGCATGTTTCAAGGAGGACCCAGTCCTTGGAGAGGGACGTCATGCTTGGGAGTGTGGAGGGAAAGCACAGGAGAAGAAGACTCTCGATGAGATGGCTTGATTCTGTCACTGGGATAATAAGGATAGGCATGTCAGAGACAAGCTTGGCAAGGGATAGAGGATGGTTTAGGACTCTTGTACAGAGGGTCACCATGAGTCACAGACAACTCGACGGCACACAACAGTACGGAACAAGTGCTAAATAAATTGCAGTTGTTACTGCTTCTGCTGTTCTATTTTCATTCTCTTTCTCAATTGCCCTCTGTTGACAGTTGTCTCCTTACAAAAACTGAATGAAGATTTACATTTAAAGCAATGTTACAGATCTTTAAATCCTGAATTTTTCTCAATGTGTGTATCCAACTATGTATATGTAATACTTATATATCAGCCATTTCAGAGATTTGTAGATACAGATCTATCAAACTTTGTGTTCTAATTTTAATATGATACCAAGTTTCCTCCTATTAAAGAAAATATAGATATAGCTAAATGAGATAACTGTAACAGTGGGCTCAAATTTAATGGAGATGACGAGGATACTCCAGGATAGGGCAAGGTACAGATCTGCTGTTCATAGGGTCACTGTGGGTCATGGTCGGAGACGCTGAACAACAATGGCATTTTTCTGCAAGTCAAAGATTAGGCTTTATTGTTGCTCATTCATTCATTAATGACTCGTTAGCTACTTACTAAGTAGCTTTTTTAATTGAAAATTGTATAAATTCCTAAATCATGAAATTGTAACTTTTTTTAAAGTCAACTTCATATACCAGATGTGTATAGAGTATATAAAGTACATAAAATATATATATTCTTCTTCTAGTTACTTCTACTGGTAATGATCTTTATTTTCCAAATTGTGATAGTAATAATAATCCCATCACAGTGATTGAGGAGTCAATTTTTATAGTTGGAGGTTGTTAAGATGAACAAAATATTTTTAGTACCAGATAACCTCTAAAGCATACCTACTGTTAATCTTACTGGTTTGGTTTTTGTTGTGGTGGTTTGGTTTCCCCCCAATAACTTACTGTTTAATTTCCCCTTTTCCTTCTCTGATGCTCTCTCTGTTGTGGGGTTTGTATTTGAGTTTAGTTTCTAACTCAAGGAAGGGGACAAAAAGTTAAACTCAAAGACGAAATCATCTAATTAGTATTAATGTATTTATATAAAATGGAATGATACTTGTATTGCTTTGTTAAGTCTGACAAAATCATATGAACAAAGTTTATTCTATGTGTTAACTCAGATTTGTGTTAGTAGTTATTTTTACTGTTAAAAACTAGAGAATTTCTTCGCACCCATCATTTTATTTTAAATAATTTCTGGATGATAGACTTTTTTATGTGGACCTTTTGTCATGTTTTACATTCTACCGTCTTTCCAAAGTGAAGAATCTTTGAATAAAGATTTAATTTACAATGCAAGAAATGTGATTATTAGCTTTTTCATTCTTTCATATCGAATTTGGCAAACCCACATTTTATATTACTAGAAGAGTCATAATCATCTTAGACAGTAAAACCTCTCACTAATTCAGAATTTATGATATTCAAATGTAGTATATGTGATCTGTTTTCAGTAAAAATTCAACATCATTTCTTCCTCTGTGAATTTTCAGGGTCATACTTGTAAAGGGAAACCTGTCTAAAATCACTAGCTTTTCAAACCAAGGGCTCAAGCAGTGAAGGATTTCTTCAGCGTGCCTTCAACCTCTGGGTCCAGCAATTAATTCTTGTATGTTAAAGGACTTTTATGTTTATGATACATTTTTGTGTAATAGAGGCCTATTTTGAATTATAGGTAACCATGTTTTATTTTCTGTAGCAATTAGTTTATATTGTGTACTGCTTGAAGGTAATACATCTGAACTTCTACTTATATGTTCTATAACTAAGACTTTCTCAGTAAGTCAAATGGGCCTATCTCTTCTGTGTTATTCCGAATTAGTGAGATTTTACTATTCTAGTAATGTATAGATTTTTAAGGCTTTTCAGAGTTATGAGAGCTAACTCTCATAACTTTGAAAAGCCTTAAAATCTTAGCCATTTGTTAGAGAAATAATAATTTTATTATAACAAGATAGTACTGAAAATTGCAAAAAAATATTATTTTTCGCAATAAAAATATGGTTAAATGAACATGAAATTACCAGATGATATTTTACCATTCTAAAATGAACAGTGAAAATACAGGTTCATAAAGCTAAGTGTGTATCTTGAGTTACATATACATCAACATATTACACACTCTTGATTTGTTTACAGTTGGTATATCACAAGATAATGATTTAGACTACTTGATCTTTGGAAAGTCCTTCAATATTTACATATTCTCTGTGTGTAAGGAATTTAAATATTGACATAGATAACATATTTAAGTGATGTATCATTTTAAGTTGAGAAAAGTAAGCTGCCTTATTTAAACATATCAAACTAAAGTTTCTGGATTTTAGAGTGTGGCTTTTGATGTTGTAGTTAGCATATCAAAGGAAAATGTGGACAAATTAAGAAGAGAAGAAGTAGGTCTCCAGCAAGATTGATGAAGGAAATTCTGAAGAGAAAAGAAAGAAAGGAGGAGGTGAAAGTAGACACTTGGTTGTGTGTAGTTAGTGTGTGAAGGCAGGAAGACCACAAAGCAGATTGAGGGACAGAGTGGAAAGCAGAGTGGAGCAGGGAAGTTACATGAGAGTTGGTCATTCAATTACTAAGTGTTGAATATAGCTATTTGGTCATTATAAATTACTTTAAGTGATTGATTTGAGTTTAGAAATAGTGATGGACAGTACAGTATTTCTAAGATCTGTTTGGAAAATATAAGTCACTTTGATTCATGATTTTTTTTTAAATGGCAAGTACTAATTGTATCACCTAGTTTAAAATAATTGTCTAATGACTGCATGCTGTTATTTTTTTCTACAAACTAAATTTTCATGTATAAACTATTAAATTTAAAATTTTGGTTCATTAAGTTTATATTATATAACTGATTAGCTTGATGGGCTTTATCTTTAACCAAATCTTAGCTCTTTATTGATTTTATAGTAGTTGCACAGAGAAGGATACAGAATATCTTTCCTAAATGAATTTCTTGCAGGCTGATTCTTGACCTATCTATCTCTTCTAACAGCTGTAGAATCTTCTTGCTTGTTCCTTTTAACATTTTTCTCTTGTTCTTCTTTAGTAAACTGATCTCCAGTTTTATTTTAAAGATTAATAATGGCTTAATTGTAAATTATAACACTTACAGATGGAAGTGGAGAAAGAGGAGAAAAAGATGCAAGTAAAATTACCACGTACCCTCCAGGCTCTGTGCGATTTGACTGTGAGCTCCGGGCAGTACAAGTCAGCTGTGGATTTCACCATTCAGGTAGCGGCTGGAACTTTAGGGTATAACTGCATTTTTACAATTGTGGTAAATAACTCAATTATTTAGTTTTGTTAAATGTAATTTAGTAACTGTGCAGTTAAGCTTTAATGTAGCAGTATATCCTAAATCTGCAATTTAAATTTTATAATTTAAATATATTGTAAATTTGTGTTTATCATATGTTTTGTAAACTATGGTTTGAGAAACAGTTCTTGTCCAAAGATCTAACTTCTAATCTGTCTTCTGAAAGACTTATTTTGTAAACCTGTGTTAATTTAATTCAAGAAATTATGGAGGATAAAATAACCACTAAAATTCCTGTCAACTCTACATTTGTGATTTTTTTTTATGCCATAGTCTCATGTTGAAGTGTGACATTAAAACTATCTTTTTCTTAAAATGTAGAAAACAATCAAATTATTAGTATACTAAATTCAGATTGTCTGGCTTACTTTATACTATTCAGCTATTAAAAGAATTTAAAAAGTGTGAACTCTTTTTCTACTTAATATATTTCCTTATTTGATACAATATAGTTAGATATTAAAGTTCTGATATGTCACTGATGTTCTCCGTTTGCAGAGAACAAACCCATCCTGTATGTGAGAGAATATTTTCTATGTCTCTCAGACTCTTTGTTGTTGTAACTAATTCATAGCACCGTTGATATTCTAAGACTTTAAATTGCAGAGGAGATTGCGCATCCTGTGGAACCACTGGTGGATTTGAGCCACTGGAGAGACATAGCGTTTGAGTTAGTAATGCAACTGCCTGTGTGCTAGGCCAGCAAAGCCCCCTGGTTTCTATGTTATTGTTCATTATTAAGATTTTACAGTTGTACTGAATCAATATGTGATAACTAAATATTAGTAAATCACATTTATAATCTCTCACTAATTGACTCATTGCCATTGGGTTGAGACTGAACCATAGTTGACAATCCAGTGGGCTTTGAGAGTCTTTTGCATGCAAAGAGATTGCCTGGCCTTCTCCTGAGGAGCTGCTGGTGGATTTGAACCTTGAAAAAGGTGCCACCTTTGGGTTAACAGCACAGCTCTCCACAGACAACGCCAGTAGAGCTCTCTTCACATCTCTAATAGTTTTAAAGTATTTGTGTAAAAACTTAGATTTTTGTGATACACAAAGAATTATTTTAGAACTAAAATTGTCTTACTAAATAGAAATTTTCACTTCAATTACTTATTTTTATGACTGAATTTTAATAGTTAAAGTTACATAGCTTTTAGTAAAGTTGTGATAGAAATATAAAATGAATTAAATGTGTTGTGGTTTCAGCGGTTTTGATGGAAAATGGAGATGTCTATACATTTGGATATGGGCAGCATGGGCAGCTGGGCCATGGAGATGTCAATTCCAGGTACTCTTAATTTTCTGTTTGAGGAGCTGAGGTTCTTGCTAGTGTTTCCTTTTCTTTTTCCTTTTTCTAGAATTGAAATAATTTTGCAGAATATGGCCCATGACTACCTGATTCTTGCGGCTGAATGCTTTTGTTCAAATAATTGATTTTGTCATTTAATTGTGAAAAAGTGTTTTGTATTTTATGTAAACACACTAGTAGTTCTGAGTGGTGCAAATGGTTAACTTTTATGGTGGTCCCTGAAAATGCATGTTTATGTCCATCCAGAGTTGCCTTCAAAGGAGACAAAAGATCTTCATGTTAAAGTTGGCTTTATGACAACTGGCTTACAAATAGAACCTAATAGTCTTTCTAACAAAGTGTTTTGTCTTAATTCCAGAATAATGTACATAGAGCCTTCTAGGTATTTCTTAATATTTTTTCTATCATCATTAACAAGGCAGTAAACTTTTAGTTGGGAGCATGAGCATACAAATAAAGGCTTTATTATTACAGCCTGCTTTGCAGCAAAGAAGTGCTTTACACAATAAAGTGGTGCAAGGAACGTTGGGATCAAGCTGTTGTAGAGGTATTCTTCTCCAATTCTCCTTTCCTGTCCCTGCATGCATACTTGGTGAAAGGAACTGGAGAAGTCACCATAGACACAATAAGTTGAAGATCATTAGAATGCTAGAGTTGTATTCTGGCTTCCTAGCACTGCCACAGGAACTGGACTGATGTTGACTCACATTGAGTTCTCCAGAGTCCAGTTAGACTCTGACTTGAATGAAAAATAAACTCTTGTTTAAGTTCCTCCTTGTCATTATTATTATAGCAGCTGAATCTATATTCTGCTTAGTACATCCTAGGTTCATTCATCAGAAGTAACTGAAAATCTATTCATATTACTTCAGGTTCTCTGAGAAGATCCCAAATATGTGTCGGTGATGCATTGGGGAAGTCTCCTGTGAAAGATAAAGTGAAAGGGATTGAAACAGGCAGGAAGAACTAAAAGATGACAAGTCTGACTCTGTTAAAGGAAAGAGGGAAGGAAGGATTGGATAAGAAGGAACACTGGACTACAATTTAGTTTGGAGAGTTTAAATTAGGTTAATGAGATAACCACAAGCCACTGCTGCCTTTTAGATAGGAATAGACAAGCACTAATAACTTTGCTTAAGTCATGGGCCTAGGGGAAGAATCCCAATGGACACCATCTATAGTTCCCAGTCAGCTACTCTCATCTATAGTTCCCAGTCAGCTACTCTTATTGCTGTAGTTGTCTTGAGGGAGAACTGAGTGATATGTCTCTGATTACCCCACCATTGTTAAAAGGAATATTTAAATCTGGGAAATGGAAGGCAACATCTGGGCAGACTTGACTCAGCAATTCAGTTTGCCAAGTTGACCACAATTTAATTATCATTTTCCAGGATGTCTTACCCTCTCTTTGAAGTCACAGGTGTCTACCAGAATTAGTTAGACTTATGGTGTCAGGTTGCTATGCTTCTGAGAGCTGGATAATGAATAAGGATGACAGAAGAATTGATACTTTTAAGCTTTGCTGTTGGAAAATAACACTCAGTATCTAATGGACAGCCAAAAGAACAAGCAGATCTTGGAAAATATGTGGCTGGAGTGTTCCTTGGAAGCAAGGATGGTTAAGCTTCATCTCTCATGCTTGAGGCATATTGCTAGGAGAGGCTATTCTTTGGAAAGGGACATCATGCTTGGAAAGATGGAAGGTCAGCGCGAAAGAGGAAGACCTTTAGTGAGATGCATTGGCAAAATGACTGCAGAAATGGGGTCAAGTTTGTCAGAGATGGGGAGGTTGGCTCAGGATAGGGTAAAGTTCAGAGCTTTTGTTCATAGTTGCTATGAGTCACAGTTGATTCAGTGGCTCATAGTAACAGCATCAACATATGGTTTTTCATTCACAATACGCTGAAAGAAAGGGAGACTTTCCCTAAGCATTAAAGTCCATGTTGTATTGCTGATTGCCGTCAATTCGAGCATGACTCATAGTGACCCTATGAACAGAAGGCCTGAAGCCTTTTCTATTAGTGTTTCTCAAAGCTTATAGAGTTTCCAGAGGCATGTTGTTTAGAAAGTGGATGCCACTCCTGCTTCCTTGATTGTGACTTTATTTTGGATAAACCTCTATTTCTATGGCAAGACTGGAGCTTGCATTTTATACAGTGATTTTTAGCCCTGACTACACATTTGAACCACCGGGGAGTTTTGGTTTTCTTTTAAGTACCCTGGATTCTACATCCAGAATTTCTAAGAGGGGATGCATGTTGGGGCTGGTTATCGAATACAGATTTCAGGGGTTTGTTTTGTTTTGTATTTTAAAGATCCCCACAGTAGTGTGCTGCCGGAATTGAGAACTGTTTTTATCCCTAGAGTTCTGGCAGCTTTACTCCATTTACACTGCATATGATGTGGAAGTGAAGCAGAATGTCCTTGATTATTTTGATAAGTTTTGTTTTTAAGAATAAGAATAGAAGAGTCAATTATCAAGTTGAACTTTTCATTAAAAATACCACAGCAGCATATAATTCATAGTATTACAAGTAGTTGATAAAACTATCCAAAATCTTAATATTTTGTGAGCTAGAACAACGCTCTCACAGTTTTATGAAGCCAGCAGATGTTTTATGGATGAGTGCTACCACTGAGCCACAGACTTCAATCTGATCTTTAATTTGTGTGGGGGAAAAAACATGGAAATTTTTTCTTCTGTTTCATGATACAAAAAGAAGAGTTTGTGGTGTTTTTTACTATATAGTACTTATTGATATTATAATCATCAGCATTGTTATGATGACTTTATGAGTTTCTGTTTAATTGAAAAAGGTACATTGCAATTAGAATGTACAACCCTGTTTCCAGCCAGGAGGGTTCTGCTTTACAAATCAGGATTTTTGCTTTCTATGGAAAAGAATTATCTTTGTTTAGTGTTCATAGGGTTTTCACTAAATAATGAGCAGTCAGGAAATAAGGAGACACATTGCACTGGGAAAATATGCAGTTAGGGATCTTTCCAAATTGTTGAGGAGGAGTAGTGTCAGTTTGAGAACTAAGATGTGTCTGATTCAGGCCATAGTCTTTCCAATTACTAGCTGTGTATCCAAGATACAGACAGTGAATAAAGATGACAGAAAAAGAATTGAAGCCTTTAAGCTATGGAGTTGGAGAAGATCACTCATTATCCCGTGGATGGCCCAGAGAATGAATAGATATATCTTTTCTATATAAAGGGTGCAGCTGGAGTTCTCTTTGGAGGCAAGAATGGTGAAACTTCACCTCACGGTACTTTGGACATATTGCTAGGCAGTACTATTCCTTGGAGAGTGGCATGATGTTGGGAAGGGTGGTGGGTCAGCAGAGGAGAGGAAGACTCTCAACCAGGTAGATTGACAATAGTGACTGCTGCAGTGGGCTCTTGTGTATCAGAAAGTGTGTGAATGGCACAAGACAGGACTAGGTTCAGCTCTTTTGTTCATAGGGTCAATGTGTCAAATCAGTGACGCCTAATGACAACAACAATGGAAAATAATTGCTAAAGTGTTGTGTTTCATAGTCCTGTGTAGAAGGGAAATAGTAAAAAATAAGAATTCTGATTAAAACACAGCCATTAGGTAATGCTGTTGTAAAAAGAGCAAGGACTACTTGAGACAGCCATGTCTGACCTTTACTGACTTCACAAAGGGGAACTGTCCTATTAACAGCATCAGCAGCACACAACCAGTTCCCAGGAGGTCAGACATATTCCCTCCCATGCACATTTTCTACTCCTCTCAGCACCAATTTTACTCGTTTAGTGGGTCCAAAATCTTGATGCAATGGCCCACAGACTGCACAGGATCATATTAGGGAAGATAAAAAAGGTTATAATCCAGGTTAGCAGCAGAATACAGTCAGGACAGTTTCTGAAACATGCTCACAGGCTCCTCAGCTTTGAGCCTCACAGCTTTAGGCTAGTGTTTAAAAGTTCTCAGTCCTACCTGTTAAGGCCTCCACCCCTAGCTGTCCAACAAACTTAAGCATAGACTCCTTGCTCTGGTTCCTGTATTGTAACAGTCCCAAAGCCCCATCTTATATCAGGTCTCCGGTTCACTATGGCTGCTACTCCTCTAGACCCTCTTGCTTGCTCTTTTGCTGGTGAAGAAGATCCTCCTGTTGCTGCTGGGTCTGCCCAATTTAATGACAAGACTAGTGAATCACCTTATAGATTGGCCGTGACTAGTCACTGCCCCTGTGGATAGTCTAACATGCCTTATTAGCATAGTCCTACCCATCCACATGACAAAGACAAACAATGGCTAGGAAGCCACTTTGAATAAACCTTCAATTCCACACTGGCCTACTGTACACTACAACTGTCCTATTGTGTGCACTGAAGGAAAGGGCTGCATATGAACAAGTTCCTGCTTTGTTTTATTAAGGTGGAATGGCTCTTGAAGGAGATAGTGTTCATATAAACTTTAAAAAGTAAAAAAAAAAATTAGGTAAAAACCATTGCTTTATGTTACTAACTGTACTGATGGGACTATTTTTTTATATCTGAATTTCATCAGGGAACAGTATTACAGCATGATACTTAATATTTTGAAGAATTTTGATTTATCATCATCTTGGGCCTTAAGATCCAACTCTGGCAGAGTTTGCTTTACATGTTCTTTGCCAGCCTGTAAAGTTCCACACCCGATTCCATTTATTGCTGGTTAACTAGTAGATTGATTGCATGTGGTTTGGGAAGAACTAAATAGGATAAACCAAGATAGTAATACCTACACAAAATATCTTGTATCTGAGTGTTGCGAACTGTTAATTTCTCAACTACTAGATGAAAGGTTGGTAGTTCCAATTTGTCCAGTGGCCCCTCGGAAGATAGGCCTGGTGATTTTTGTTTCTGAAAGATCATGGCCTTGAAAACCGTATAAAACCACTCTTGCCTGGGACTGCTCATGTTAGAGTCAGCTCCACAGCAACTAACAAGCATATATCAGACTGATGCAAAACCTTTTTGTCATAAGCAGTCTAGTTGCTTAGATCTCTGTGAGATTTGGAAGCAGGCATTATGAACTATGTTATTAATTTTTAAAAAAATTAGTTGCTTAATAATCTGGCATAATCTCAGGAAGAACTAATCTGTAGCATATGTACTAACTGCAATAAAGCAACACCATTGATAGAGATGTATTTATTTAAAGTGAAGAATTGAAGAATGTTTTTGAAAGATGTCAAATAATTAAAATTAATAATTTATGATACATGCAGCACTTACTGATAACATGATCTTATTAATATAAAGCAGATATTGCAGTGTATGTGATGATGAAGATGCATAAAAGTCATTGATACTGTCTTAATATACAGTCTTACTAAAATTATTTTAGTTCAGCCTCTAGTTTAGATCTTATACTGTCATTTAGTGGTAAACTGAACTTTCTTGTATCTCAGTTTCTTCGTTTATTAAATGACAGTAGTTGCAGCTTCCTTAGAAGATTATCGGAAGAATTCACTGAGGTAATATGCAAAATAATTAGCCTAGGGCTTAACCTATGAGTAGATATGCAATAAATGTTGGTTTCTACTATTGTTGTTGTTGGGGCTTTTAATTTTTTGGGAGGGGCAAGTGGGGTTGTTAAGTAAACTAAAAAAATACTTTTAATGAGGACTTCTACAAACCTACTCAGTACATGAGTCCTTATTTTTCTTTATTTTACTTAATATGTGCCTAAATTATTTAAGTCCAAAATATTTTACCATTTTCTGTAAACTCGAACCTGACACTGAGTCTAATATTTTATGTGTGTTCATTAACCCTCTTAAAGTAGAATTTTGATGATCCTTAAAGTGTTTGTGAATGTCCCGGGTTTGCCATTCTGTCTTCCTTCTATGCCGGTGTGCGCTGCAGTCATGATGTCTTACTTAATTTGTTGCTGTAAGACTTTACTATCTGTAAACTTTCATTTCCAATTTCCATTGACTATAAGATTTTTTTTGTAGGATTAATGTGAAATACCGAGTGTTCATGTAACTTACAACTCAGTTTTCTCTTCTATTTCAAAACAATTTACTAATGAACTCTGAGAATAATTCTAGGATTTTATATTAGAAGACCTGCCACCATCTTTTGAAAAAACCTTTTAACCTCTTCAGATCTATCAATATAATTAATTTGATAATTATTCCATTTATGTGATTTTTTTTTAAACTGTAGACTAAGAATTCAGTTGTAAAATTTCTCCCTTCAGTTCCTTATTTGAATAGAAGTAGACACTTCTGTGAAAGCATAAATTTCACAGCAGCCCACGGGAGTGTAAATGTTCTTTTGTGAAAACTCTCTGTACTTTATAGGACTGTCTGGTTGCATAATGGTAATAAGTTGCACCGCTGATCCTAAAGCATGTGGGTCTCATCCATCAGCTGCTCTATGGAAGAAACATGGGCCATCTCCCCTCATGTGGGTTAAAGCCTCTGAAAATCTGCTGGAGGGTTAGCTATGAGTCGGTTCTTTCTAAATGGTTTGAATACAACAACTCTATAGAGTTAAGAGCCACATACCTCTTCGCTGATGCTCCAGTCTCATTACAGTTTCAATAAAGTAAAAAAAAAAAAACAAAAATGAATAAACACGCAAAAATTTCTAATGAAGAATGTTCAAATATATCATTTTTTAATGACAATTTTATCTTCTCTTTCTTAGTCCTACCTTATTTGGCCTTTGAGCTTATTATTCCCTACAACCTTTTACCTTTTTATTTATTCCCTGCTCAACTTAAAGATTGTTAAATATCTTCACCTAATATGCTTTACATTATTCTCAGTGTTTTGATACTGGGCCATTGAGTTGTTTGCTTATATGTGACAGGTAACACATCCTGCCCTGTGGCAGCTCCATGATATTTTAATATGTGTGAGCCTGTCATTGAGACTATTGTATCAGTCTGAGATTTGCCTTGTTTTGCTAACACTTAGTGTTCCTGATCGTGATGTTCTTTCCTGATGATTTGTTTTTCCTGATGACATACCCAAAGTAAGCAGGACAAACACCATCACCTTTACTTCTGAGGAGCATGTTGATTGTGTTGCTTCTAAGACTGATACCCTAGTTCTTAATATTCTTGGACAGAACTACAGTTCAATTGCATCCATTCTTTTGTCTTCATTTTTTATCGTTCACCTTTCATATACTAATGAGGCATTTGGAGACAGTGGCCTGGATCAGGTGTATCAAACCATCAAAGCAACAGTTTTGCTATTTAGAACAGTAAAGACATATTTTGCCCCACATTTTCTCAAAGCTGTTAGTTATTCAACCTCTAGCCTGTTCCTTTCATGAACTAGGGCATTCATACAGAAATCATCCTGTGTACTCTTAAGTGGCTGAGGAAAAAGTCACATGTGTGCAGATTGTTGTATGGTATTCATATTCATATTCAGCTATCTCTTTGTAATGAGAAAGCCTCCTGTTAGATACTTCTGCATTATTTACTTGAAGACTTTTGAGTTGTGGTTGTTGGTTTTTTTTAGACTTTTGAGTTTTGGTCAGAGATATGGGCATTCTCTACAGAAATAAATAGGCATAAAGTCCTTTACACATAACATTTAGTTGCAAACTTTAGGGGTTCAGAAATTTCTTGAAAATCTGTCATGGACTTCCTGGTCATTCTTTGGATCTAGATTAAAAATTCCTATCCTAATTTCTGTTTAATTCCTTGCCTAACCTTCAAAACTTTATAATCTTCAAGCTTTCTAGACCTTCTAGTCTTCAGATTTTCCTCTTTGCTCACACATTTCCCACCACATAATAACCTCCGTTCACATCACAAAAAGAAATACATAAATTTTAGACAAAAATTTTTCATACCACTAATTTACAAACTGGCCTACATCCATACTACATCTTTAACCTTCCCTTTTGCTACTGTGAATGAGGGCCTCATCTTACCTGTTTTTGGAGATACGTCTACTTTTTTCCTTAGGGATCTAGTTCTGTGTCCTGTCTCTTTTCTTTGATCTGTTGTTAGCCTGTTCAACTTACACACTGTTGAACTTCCTTATTATTTTTTTTTGTCTCGTAAAGAACAAAGCTGCTATTTTTAGCTTAATTTTCCTGTCAGTCCATCTTTCTTTATCCCTTTAGTGCTAAGATGATTGAAGGAATTGTCTGCATGTGCATTCTGTGACCTGTTGTTAACTTCCATCTACTAAATGTTCTTGCTGACTCCATTGATCCCGTGCATGCCTCTAGAGCTTTTGACATGTATAGTGTGTGCCTCCTTGTTCCAGTACTTTGTGAATACAGATTTCAAAATTGTGGAATAGTATTTGTTAGGTTGACTCATAGAGAAAGATCTTATGGAGAGTATATGAAGTGCACAAAGACAATAAGAATGAAACAAAATTGAAGATATGGAAGAGGATTCTTCTTTTCATTCATTCTTTGATAGATTTTCTAAATAAAAAAACCAAAACACCCAAATGCACTGTCACTGAGCCAGAATCAACTCATGATTGACCCTCTAGTGGGTCATTGGAAGCTGAAGGTAGCATGGGAAGAGATTGTCAGTCCTTCTCCCAAGGAACCACTAGTTAATTTGAATCACTAGAGATGTTCCATCTTTGTGTTAACATTATGGTTCCCTTAGGACTATGCCACCAGAACGGCTTGTAGAACTTTTTCTCTCATTGCTGTCAAGCTGGAGCTGACTCATAGCTGGCCTTCAGTGGGTTTCCACACAGGAGGAGATTGCCTGTCCCCACCGATCGATTGGTGGATTTGAATCACCAGAGAGGCACTGCACCTCCCTGTGGATTACATTAGCAGCATAATGTACTGGACATAATATCCCTGTGGACTATATCATCTAAATTCCCTAGAAGAATTTTAGATCTCTTTAATTTTCTTCCTTATTAAGTAAGTATGTATTCTAAATGCTGAAAACTATTTATACGACTATATTTTATCCTTAAAAATTTGCATATTATATGCAACTGCCTTTGTAGAGATTATTGTTACACCTAAGTTTAATAAAAATTGTTAATAAAAGCAAGGAAGGATTCTGAGCTGTCATTTATAATAGTAAATGTATACTGTATCCTGGTCGTTGAACTGTAAGAACCTCTCTATAGTTTGTAGGAATTGTATAGGATGGATATTATTTATTGTTCTCTTTAATATTATAGAAGAGAAAATTCACATATAAAAGGATGAATAGCTTATTCAAAGCCATGGCTGCATTGCTACTGAGTGATGGAGCTACACTTTGACAGTCTAGCTCTGGTGCCTGGACTTTTAGCCACTGCACTAATGCCTCTTATGATACTATGTATCTTAATGATGTAAACTAGGAAATAGGATCTTATACCTAATTATGTCATCTAGTTCCTGGATTGAATTCCTGATAAGAAAAACAGATCACAAAAGATCTAAAGGCACAGTTTTTCTCTCATCCAGTAAAGTACCTACTGCAAGATTACTAGTGAGTCGGTCATTACAAGATACAGGTCTTACAGGAAAATTAAAAATCATTTAACCATGATAAGGGTAGGAAAAATTCAGAAAATCTTTTAAATAATCTCCTCAAAGTCATCACCTATGTCTTTTACATCTTTGTTTACCCAGAGTCTTAACATGTGACAGGCTTGTCATACCTAAATACGTGTTTATTGAATACTATTTTTAGTGACTTCTCTCTTTTCCCCTCTTTATTGCATTGCTTACATACTACTGTTTTTGTTTTTGTATTTTTTTAATTTTTTTTTTTTAGTTTCTAATGGCTCTTGTAAGAAATTGACTTACTTTTTTTTTTTTTTAACCTAGGGGCTGTCCCACTCTTGTTCAAGCCTTACCAGGTCCTAGCACACAAGTCACTGCCGGCAGCAACCACACGGCAGTGCTTTTAATGGATGGACAGGTCTTCACATTTGGAAGTTTTTCTGTAAGACATTTTAAAAACAATAATATTGCGCATTGCCTTAAAATTTGTCTACATTATAGCTAGATAATTTTTTTCTGATTCCACTAAGATTCATATTTGTATTTAAACATATGCCTCTTTGAGCACATTTTCTGCCTCTATTTTCAACACACAAAACTAGAATGGCATTAATTTCAGGTAATTTTTCTTCTCTAAATCAGCATTAAATTTATTTACTTTAATTGTTGTGTTAGAATTTGATCTGTTTGTTCCAGATCAAAATGCTTTAAGCACTCATTAGAGATATTTCTGCATTTGAGAGATTTAATTTCTAACCTCACTTCAAGCTGAAGTTTTTGCCACTTCAGTAATAATACCTCTTATGATACTGTATTTTGACTCTTTAAATATAGTACTAAAATATAAAATTAAAGCTTGATGATGAGTTAAGAAAAGGTTAATTTTTATGTATACAAAACTTGACTTTTAAAGATTTTTGCAAGTCTAGTTTATTAGATTTATTTAAAATTACAGTTTCCTTTCCTGCACAGTCTCCTTCTCTGTCTCTTTGTTCTCTGGTTTTTTTTCTCCCCAACCTTGAAAATGCTGAATATGGCTTGCAGAATTCATGTAGCTGGTACAGAGTAGAAGGTAGAGTAGAGATCAAAGAAAAAGGAAGACTATGCAGAATAATGAAATACTATCTTGTGCTTGAGTTAACTATACAGAGCTATTGAGTCTCTGAGATATGCTCTATAAATCCTAATCTTTGTTGTTTGATGCCATCAAATCAGTTCAGACTCAGAGCCACTCTAGGTTGACAAGAGTCCAACTTTTTGGATTATTTGCTGAGCATATCGATTGAAGAGGTATGGTGATAATACATACCTGTCTTGTTTTAAACCATGTGATATTCCTTGTTTTGTTCAAGTGGCTCCTTCTTGGTCGAGGTACAAGTTCCCCATAAGCACTATAAAGTATTCTGGAATCCCAATTCTTTTTTTTTATATTGCAAAAGATCTTTTTTTGTCCCCATTTCAAAGAATGTTGACCTGACAGAGTGTGGAAATAATCAAACAGTATCATTGGTATCAGATGTAAGCAAGATTCTGATGAAGATGTTGCAAAAATGACTGGAACAGCACATCAACAGAGAACTTTCTGAAGTACAGGCTGGATTTAGAAGAAGCTGTGGTAGTAGAGACACTATAGTTACTGTTAAATGTATCCTGGCTGAAAGCAGAGAGTACCAGCGGAGTGTCTATCTTTGTTTCATTGCCTATAAAAGGCATTTGACTGTGTGGACCACAACAAACTGTGGCTGACTCCGAGAAGAATGGGAATCCCAGAACACTTGATTGTGTTTATGTGAAACCTATACTTGGACCAGGAGGCTATTGTCAGAACAGAGCAAAGAAACACTGCATGGTTGAAAACTGGGAAGGGTGTACACCAGGGATGTGTCCTATTTCCCTTCCTTTTTAATCTGTATGCATAACAGGTTGTCTGGGAGGCTGTGCTTCATGAGAAGAAATGCCACATCAGGATTGGAGGAAGACTTATCAATAATCTGTGTTATATTGATGATACAACCATTCTTGCTGAAACTGAGGAGGGCCTGAATTGCTTGCCGCAGAAGTTCAAGGACTTCAGCCTTCAATATGGATTGAAGCGCAACATAAAAGAAACAAAGATTCTCACCACTATGCCATTTGGCTATATTACAATAGATGGGGGATGGAGAATATTAACAGCTTTAGTTTATTTGACACCCCAATCAACACTCTTGGTACCAGCAGCCAGGAAATGAAAAGATAAAATTGCATTGCAAAAGTCTGCTGTCAGAAAACTCTCCAAAATACTGAAGAGCAACAGTGTCCGTCTGGAGACTAAGACGTGCCTGATCGAGGCTATAGTCTTTGCAATTACTTGCTATGCATCAGAAAGTTGGACATTGACTAGGGATGATAGAAGGAGAATTCTTAATAAATAAAATTATTTATATCTTATTTTGATCCACATAGTCTAGTGCTTTTAAAATTCTGTTCTTTCATATCAAATCTATCTGACTTCAACAGTGATACCCCTTGTTCCGTTCCCCCCCTGAATCTGGCTTGAATTTTTGGTAGTACCTGGAGATGTGTTGTTGCAACCATTCAAAAATTCTCTTCAGCAAGCTTTTATATGTGTGTGATACAAATAATATTAATAATTTTCAGATTCTGTTGAATCATCTTCCTTTGGAATAGGCACAAATGTAGTTTTTATATGTTCTGTTGGCCAGGCCATTATAATTCAGATTTCCTGGTTTTGATAAGGAGCTTATGAAAGGCTGAATCCATTTGTTGAAACATTTCATTTGGTGTTCTATTGGCTCCTGCCTTGTTTTTATACCTCTTTTTATGCAGTTCTGATTTCTTCTATGAATACCATTGGTTCTGGATCATATGCTGCTACTTCCTGAAATGATTAAATGTCAGTCAGTTCTATTAGATACAATGATTCTGTGTTTTCCTTCTGTCTTGATGCCTCCTGCTTAGTTCAGTATTTTTCTATAGGATCCTTTAGAGTTAGAATACTGAGGCTCGATTTTTTTCCCCCTTCATTTCTCTCAGCTTGAGAAATGCTGAGTTTGTTTCTCCTTTTTAATTTAACTCCAGGTCTTTGCACCTTTCACTATAATACTTTGTCTTCTTGAGCTGTCCTTTGAAATTCATTCCTCAGTTCTCTTGCTTTACCTTTTCTTCCTTAGTTTCTTTTTGTTTTAAAGCAAGAGTTAGAGGCTATTCTAGAATTCATTGTGGTCATTTGGTGTTTTCCTTTTGTTCTTTCCATTTTATGCTTTGATTTTAATCATGTGTGATGTTCTTGACTTATTTACTGTAATTCACTTGGTCTTCACTTATTAGTTTCTAGTGCATAAAATTATTTCTTGGCTTGAACACTAAATTCAAGTAGTATACTTGTAGGTTCATATTTTGAAAGTGAAGGACTTAATTTTCTTCACTTCCAGTTTGAATTTGCACTTGAACAATTTTCTTTTTCATAGTCATATTGCCTTCAGAAAGAGCTAAAACTCCTTACCAGGGAGTTGGTTCCAACTCTTACTTACCCTCCATAGGGATTTTAAGGCTGTAAATCTAAATGGGAAAGACTAACCATCTTTCTATCTGGGAGCTGTAGGTGTATTCAGATTACTGGAGAAGTGTGATCTATTAGTTAGCAGCATAACAAGCTACAGACTTAGTATCCTTTAAACTGTAAGATTTTCTCAAGTTTTTCTTGTCTCTTCTGACATTAATATTTTAAAATAATTTGTTGTTGTGTACTGTCACATTGGACCTGACTCATAGCTGACCTTCCATTGGGTTTCCTAGGTTATATAGCATGAGAAGAGATTGCACTTCTTTCTCCCACACAACAGCTGGAGATTCAAACCACCTGTCTTTGGAGTTGATAGCACGACTCCTTACCACTAGACAACCAGAGCTCCCGAAAATAATGAGTATGTATAAATAACATATCTCGAATTAGGTTTATCTGATAAAGGCTTTCAAATTAGGATTATTTTACATAACTAATATTTTCCTCTATCTTAGAGTAGCACATCTAGAGGCAGAAGGTATTTATCTACTCCTAAGTGAGTATGTCAGTAATGTACAAATTGACATTATTCTGGTATTCCTTGCTTTCAGCCAGGATTCATCTAACATCAGTAATGATCTCCATGTTGCCACGGCCTCTTCTAAATCTAACTTGGACATATAGCAGTTTCCTATCTATGTATTGTACTAGTTGTTTTTTAACTATTTTCGGCAGTATTTTTGCTTGCATGTAATAGTAATGATATTGTTTGATAATTTCCACATCCTGTTGGATCACCTTTCTTGGGAATGAGAACAAACAAGGATCTCTTCCATTTATTTGGCCAGGTAACTGTCCTCCAGATTTCCTGGCATAGACTGGTGAGCAAGTCTAGGGACAGCATCTGTCACTTTGAAACATGTCTATTGGTATTCCCTTGATTCTTGGGACCTTATTTTTTTTGCCAGTGCCTTCAGTGATGCTTGAACTTTCTCCTTCATTACCATTGGCTGTTGAACATAAGGGAATTTCTGAAGTATTTCTGTGTTGGACAATTCTTCTTGACTATGTGTTTTCCCTCCATTTTCTTTTCATCTTTCCTGGATCATTCAAAATTTCTCCCATAGAATTCTTAAGTATTGCATTTTGAGGCTTGAATTTGTTCTTCAGCATTAACTATGTGGATAATAACAAACTATGGTTAACAGTGAGAAGATTGAGAATTCCAGAACACATACTTGTGCCAAGTATATACCTAGACCAAGAGGCTAATGTATGAACAGAGAAAGGGAACAGCGCTTGGTTTAAATTTAGGAGAGATATGCATCAAGGTTATATCTTGTCACCACAACTATTCAGTCTGTTTGAAAAGTGAATTATTTGAGAAGATGGACTTTGTGAAGAAGAATGTGGCATCAGGATTGGAGAAAGACTCATCAATAACATGCAGACAACACAACCTTTCTTCCTATAAGGGAGTAGGACTTTAAGCACTTGCTTGAAGTTTAAATATTGCATCCTTCAATATGGATAGCTTCTCAACCTCAAGAAAACACAGAAGTCCTCACAACTGGACCAATGGGCAACATCATGATAGGTGTAGAATAGATTGAGACTGTCAACGACTTCATCTTAATTGGATCAACAGTCAGTATACTTGGTGTATTTGCTGAGCGGTCAGCAAGCTCAGGAGATGAATTGGACTGGGGAAGTCTGTAGTCAGCAACTTTTCCAAATTATTAAAGAACACTGATGTTAGTTTGAGGACTAGTGCATCTCATTCAGGTGATTTTTTTTTTAATTTGCTATGCATCTGAAAGCTGGACAATGAATAAGGAGGACAGAAGAATTGATACCTTTAAGCTGTGGTGTTGAAGAGTGCTGAATATCTCATGGACTGACAAAAGAACAAATGCATGTGTCTTGGAGAAGGTACA